GTTTTGCTGCGCGTCAAGATAGTGTTTATGTTGCTGTCAGTGGTGCACTGTGCCCCACGAATGTGCACTGTTCCTACCTATCATGAGTGCTAAGTTAGATGGTGGGGCTAGGCGCGGTTACCCTTGAGTCGTTCTTGGCGCGTCTAGAACTGAAGCTCTTTTAAGAGCTGCCTCGTGACGTAGCTGCAAGGTACAAGGTACCTCTACCGACCTTTTGCGCATTGGACCTTTGGAAGCTGTCATAGCTCTGGCTTGGGCTCTCAACAACTACCTATAACAACCCAGCAACTGTCCAGCATATACAAACGCTCTCTTCCTGGGCCTTATAGCTTTCCAGAATGATATCATTGTTGTCATTACAATGACGGAGCAGTCACCGCAACCGAGCCATGAGTTGGCGCGTGATACCAATGCCCAACAACCGGAACATGAGCCAGCAGTAGACACCAACGAGACGTTCCCGCCTGTAGAAAACAAAGATTCCGACGATGTCGCACACGAGAAAGATGACACATCAAAAGATGTGGCGAGCAAAGAAGGGGGTACCGAAGCCAGAGATGTAAAGAATGGGGAAAGCAACTATGGAAAGTCGGGCCACGATGAAGACAATGAGGAAGAGGAGGAAGAGGAGGATGATGATGACGAAGCTGACGAAGCTGACGAAGATGACGAAGACGACGAAGATGATGAGGACGAGGACGAGGACGAGGACGAGGAGGATGAGGATGAGGATGAGGATGAGGATGAGGATGAGGAGCCAAGACTCAAATATGCTCGGTTGACTCAACACCTTAACGGAGTGTATCGAAACGGCGACGCAACTAGCGCGTTTCTTGTCGCGGGAGATAAGATGGTAGGTTGCGTTTGTGTTGGGGCATCTCAGCTTGCTAACGTCTATCCAGATAGTTGGAACGCATAATGGCAATATCGTAAGTCTTGGGCGGAACCGTCAACACGACTCTCACTAATTCTGGGCCAGCACATTGTTCAGCTCCCAATGTTCCAGTCCATGAGAGTATACCATGCGCACTCAGCATCAGTTACCTCTGTATCAATATCGCCATATCCTCCTCCATTACCAACCGAGAAGAAGCCAGAGGCAGCGCAAAGGCATACGACTTCCAGCAACGCTACTGTCTCTTCCGGTCGCCAGGCCGATGCATCTCCGGCGGTAGCTTCCAGAAGACCTCGCGAAGCGTCACAAATACCCAGGACACCATCTAACGATATTTATGTAGCGACTTCTTCCTTGGATGGCAATGTATGTGTTCAGTCTTTGATTGACATGAAAGATGTCCAGCTACGGAACTTTGCCCGTCCCGTACAAGCTGTGGCTCTGTCGCCAGAATTCAAGACAGATCGGACCTATTTGTCAGGAGGACTTGCTGGTCAACTCATTCTTACCGCCGGAGGTGGTCCGGGTCGCAGTACCTCGACAACAACTGGAACTGCTGCGGCCACGGCTTCCGGCTGGCTGGGCAGTATGGGACTTGGCGGCAATAGTGGCAAAGACACTATCTTGCACTCTGGCGAAGGAACTATCAGCACTATCAAATGGTCCTTGTCTGGGAAATATGTGGTCTGGCTCAACGAACATGGAATCAAAATTATGCGGTCGAAGCTCTACCTCGAAAGTCCAGACATAGAAGATGCCTGGAAACGAGTTGGGCACATTGATCGCCCACAAACTGATGAATGGGAAACCATGGCAAGTGTATGGAAAGGCCGCGTCGAATGGATCGACGAACAAGCTGTTGAAGTGGACGAATCCGACCAGAGCACTGTCGATAAAGGAATATCTCCTGCTACAGACAAGCTCAGAGAACAAGCCATAGTGGGCAAGAAGAATATCGAACGACTACTCGTAGGTTGGGGTGGGACGATATGGATCATACACGTTCATCCAGGAGGTGTCGGTGTCGGCCGGCACGCTGGCGAGAAGACTGTTGGGCGTGCTGAAATTGTTAAAATGTGGGTTTTGTTGCAAATGTGTCCTCCTTGAGTTCAAGCTGACTTGAAACAGACTTCGGATGGATTGCATCATATCCGGCATTTCGCTATATACCCATAACCTTTTGTTAGTACTTGCATATTGCTTGCCTGAAGACGAGGACGAGGACGAGGATGCCGGATCGGTTTCAAACTCACCAGGCAAAAAGCATAAATCCAACCCTTCAACAGGAACCGAGCCGTCTGGCGGTGTTCGCCGCCGACAGAATAACCAACCACCTGAACTCCGTCTTATTGATCTTAACTCCCAGGCCGAAGCCGACAAAGATAGTCTGAGCGTCAGTCGCTATGAGAGGTTGTCATCAGGTGATTACCACTTAGGCGTTTTGCCGGCACGCAATGCTGCGTCTGCAATCGCTTCTTCTAGGGGCGCTCTGGAGGCGATAGCTGGGATCGGCACAGATATGTGGAATGCGGCCATCAACCCTCGCTCCCTCTTCAGCTCTGGAGCTAGCATTCGTAGCCGGGGGAGTGGTGATGATTCTAGTCTCATAGGGAGTACGGCAGGAACAATTCGGCCTGGGACCAATCGGGGACTTTCCCCAACCGTCCATTCTGGTCTTGTCAAACCAGGTGTAAAGATCTTCATACACAGTCCGTATGACTGCATCCTCGCAACCAGACGAGATCTGAGTGATCATTTGGGGTGGCTCCTAGAGCGCCAGCAGTACCAGCGTGCCTGGGAGTTACTCGATGAACACCCGGAGATCATGGCACCGTTAAACGAAAGGGCTAGTGACGGTATTCCTTCAACTCCAACACTGAACCAAGAACCTAGTGATGATTTCAACGATGATGAATCTGTTGTCGATTCGCAACTGCGAGATTTCTATTCTTCGGCAGAGCGAGAGAAAAGGCGTATTGGAGAACTCTGGATCCAGGAGCTTATCGAAGAGAACGACTGGGCATCTGCTGGTAAAGTCTGTGGTCAGGTGCTTAAGACTCCTGATAGATGGGAGAAATGGGTTTGGACATTTGCTGGTGCCAAGAAATTTGATGCTATCACGGACTACATTCCCACAGAGCCCATGCATCCGCCCCTTCCTTCGACTATTTATGAAGTCGTGCTAGGCCACTATATTCAAAACGACAAGCCAAGGTTTAGGGAGCTTTTGGATCGATGGTCACCTGAGTTGTTCGACATTAAAACAATCACGACTGCACTGGAGAACCAGCTCAAGTATCGAGACGTACGCGAAGACAGCATCGATGATGGAGAAAAGGGACGGGACTGGAGGATTGTGATGGAGAGCTTGGCAAGGTTGCACGAGGCCAACGGACGACATCGCGAGGCTCTCAAATGTTACATCAAGCTCCATGATGCGGATCAGGCCTTTAGATTGATTAGAGACAACCACCTTGCAGAAGCCGTTGAAGACGATATTCCAAGCTTCATTGGCCTCAGAGTTCCATCAGGTAAAGTTGATGAAATGACGGCAGATGAGCTTGATGAGGCGACATCAGAAGCCATAACACTACTCGTTGACGAGGCTCAGCATGGTCTCCTGCGCCCTGATATCGTGGTGGAGCAGCTTCTCTCCAAGAAGCTCAACCTGTACATATACTTCTATTTTCGAGGTCTATGGAAGGGTGATGGTATTCAGGAACATAGTGGAGAGAATGTGGACCGGCTGGTGATGGACAGTCAATCTTTGGTCGACAACTTCGCGGATTTGGCTGTCCATCTGTTTGCGACCTTCGACCGGGCGTTGCTTATGCAATACCTCAAGACTTCAGTCTCCTATACATTTGAAAAGGTAACCCGAAGTAACAAAAACATCACTGCGTTTTGTCTGCTAACTCAAGGTAGGCTGTTCAAGAGTGTGAGACATTCTCATACTACGACGAGCTCGTGTTTCTATACTCAAAAACGGGCCAAATGAAACGTGCTCTCTACCTCATCATCGATCGTCTAAAGAATGTTCACAAAGCAATCGAGTTTGCGAAAGAACAAGACGACCCTGACCTGTGGGAAGACCTCCTTAAATACAGCATGGACAAGCCCAGCTTCATTCGAGGTCTGCTTGAGCAAGTCGGTACAGCTATCAACCCAATCACTGTAGTGCAGCGAATTCCCGAGGGACTTGAGATTGAGGGTCTCAGGGAAGGGCTTACGCACATGATGAAGGAACACGAGATCCAGTACAGCATCAGCTCTGGTGTTGCACGAGTCCTTCGCAGTGAGGTTGCCACGGCGCAGAACGAGCTTCGAGCTGGCCAGCGTAAAGGTATCAAGTTTGAATTAGTTATTCAGGAACAGGAACATGTGGATATACACGTCAAGGATGTTCCCACGGACCCCGGCAATGCAGAACCCAACATTTCTCTCCCATCTACGGCGCATGATCACAGAGTGCCGAAACCGGGACACTGCGCAAGGTGTCATGAACCATTTACCGAGTTCGAGATGGAAACATTAGTTGGATATGCTTGCGGGCACGTGTTCCACGTGAGCCATCTCTTGGAGATGCTGCATGGGAACAAGAAACTGGATGTTGACTTAGGCAATGGCTCTGAGGAGGGAAGTCGGTATTCCGTAGGCATGAAGGTGATGAGAGCGCGATTATTGAAGGATAAGATGAAAGGGGGTTGCCCTGTATGTCATGTTAAAGAGTAGATACATCAGAACATCAGGGGTGTTCATACAGTGAGGGCGCATAGAGAGGTCAGTCTTAGCACATCAGTTTGGATAGTTTCACGGCGTACAATAAAGACACATGCGATGGTAGCAGATCCGAGTTCTTTTCAAAGTACCTAGGTACAGCACGGCGCGTATTAAGTCCCTCCACTCGGTTCCGACATGCCAGCAAATCAATCACAATCCTGTGCGTGCCATCATTCTACTTGCTGCAGGCTCTTAAACCAACGACCATTGATATTTCCATGTCAAACCATCCAACACTATCCGTTTCTCTCCAGCGTGAAAGATATATCTGAGTATAGAGTGAGCATGATGAATGCATGGGGAAGCATGATCTAGAAGTTTTGTTTTAGAAGATTACAGCGATGAGCATGCCAGCGATGCCGAGTGCGGCACCAGGAGCAAGCATCTTAGCAGCTGCACTGGCGGTGACACCAGGAGTGCCAGTAGGAGTGCCCTCGTCGGTCTCCTCAGCAGAAGAAGGGTAAGCGTTTGTGGCTGTGCCAGAGCTAGCGGTCCCGTACCCGGTCTCGGAGTCAGTGACAACGACAGCGGTGTCAGTGACAGAGGATCCGGCGGCGGCGGTGGTGGTCTGGACGCCGGACGCATCGGTGGCGCTGACGATAGCAGAAGGAGAAGGGTTCTCAACACCGGCAGAGTTGGTAGGGCTAGGGTTGGGGCCCTGCTCGCCGGAGGCAGTACCGGGTCCAGGGACGTAGTTGGGACCGGAGGAGGGAGGAACAGGGACAACGGGGGCACCGGTAGACTGAGCTCCAGACTGTTCAGCAGAAGGACCGACCTCAGTGGCAGAAGAGACACCCTGAGCGCCGACGGAGGTATCGGAGCTGTCAGCAGGAGCAGTAGCTCCAGTGGGAGCGGAGGGCATGCCGATGGCGGAGGAAGGGGACACCTCGACGCTGTAGGGCATGGAGACGATATGGTCGCAGTTTGTCTGGTGAGTGACAGCGCAGACGTTCATGGTAGAGACGACAGTGCCTATCATCAGTCAGTATACGCCACAGCAAAGGTAAAAGACATCCATACCGTCAGAGGTCGAAACACCAAAGCCAGTCACAGCAGCTTCAGTGGTGGTATAATCAGCTAGAAAAGTGTTAGTGCAAATAGAATAGCGTGAGGCTACTGAGGTTACGAACACAGACAAGTAGCACCCTCGCCCTCAGTTGCCGTAACGGAGGCGGCACAGAATGCCAGGATGCCGGCGATAGCCTTGAACTTGAGAACAGCCATCTCGAAGGTAAGGAGTCTGTTGACTATCGAAGAGGTTAACGAATGTTCTTGAAGGCTTGATGGTGGAGAGGGGGAGAAGAGCGCGAGATGCCCGAGTGAGGTACGCGGCGGAAGTGAAGAAGCACGAGTACAAAGGCCTTTCAAGAAACACACAGAGTTCAAAGGCGAAAGTGAAATAAATACTCACAGGTTTGATGCTTGAAGATGTTGTAGTGCGAGTGACCGTGTGCAAAGGATAATGCAAGAGGGTGATGAGGTGCACGATCGATGCAGAGAAGAGAAGATGAGAGAGAGAGAGAGAGAGAGAGAGAGAGAGAGAGAGAGGGTGAAGAAGAGAAGAGAGAAACATAAAAACGAAATGACAAGAGGATTCCTTTTCTACCTTAAGGCAAAGGTAAACAACAGAAGAGGCCCCTGCGTGGGCTGCAAGTGTCAGTTCGTTGACAGTGACAGACCGTCGCAGTGATGAGCAGCTGGCGAGCTATGGTTTCAAGGGGCAACGGTTCAACAACAATAGAGATGAATAGGAAACATTCAGTGATCAGTGCATGTAACTAGGTAGGTATGGATACTGGTAGAATGTTAAAGCAACAGCCGTTATTTGGTGGTACCGACTCTTTGTTGCACTGCGTCGTGTTGAGGCATCCCATCACACTTTTGGTGTTTGCCCCTGAGCTGAAGGTTGAGTCACTTGATAAAGGTTTAACAATATACATTGTTGTTATGGCAAGAATTCAAAGGCAATTTGATGTTTTGGATGCCTGCCATTTCTCGAGATGTTCTTATATGGTTACGTGGTAGAGTATTGATAGATCGGTTGTTGGTATATATTAGTAGGTTCCTTAGGAAGTCTGTGTCTTCTCAAGTGACTACTACACACTGAGTGTTTCATATTCTTGCACTCATCATATGCATGCAATCCTGCAATGCAACTGTCAGGCATAAGAAATGCATGAGCCTCCTATCCTGTGTTTGCAATGTGAAGCTACTGCACACTGGAAGTAACTCTGCTCATCGGAACTGATCCTCGATATGGAGGACCGCCGTTTTAACAATAGACTTCCTCGGTCAACGCCCTTGTGCTTTACAGCCCATGTTTACTTACTCTTGCCATTGAAATTCGAAGGCATTCTCTGCTTGAATGTGCGATACTGCGGGCTCTGTCCTACGTTGCAACCGCAGCGGCATCTCGCATTTCTACACACAACATAAGCCATACCTGTCTGAGATAGACTATCTATGCACATCTCCTCCCAGTAACTCTTGCTACATTATCCTTAGTCTAGACTCATAGAATCTGCTGAACAACATGCAAGTCTCCTCGCTCAACATGAATACGATGCTTCAATGAGACTCAGGGTAATCTCACATAGGCTGTGCTATTGTCTCTCCAACACGTGTCTGGACAGTACACCTGTGTCATGTCACTCGCCTGTGCTTCAGAGTGAGTACCCGATGAAGGACAGGCTGTCTCCGAGAAGAGTCATGCAAAGTACCTGTATGCAACTCTGTTGGCATGGGGAGGACAGGTTGAGGTTCGTCTAAGCGACACTGCGGGTTCTCGTAATAAAACGGTATGTCTTAGGGTCCTTTTTGTCCGCCCATAACATTCTCATATCAAGACCTCGAGAGCATTGATTGCGATTGGAGTTGTTGCCAAATGAATATTGCACCTGGTTATGCAAGGGTCCAGAAGCTATCTCGTTGCGTAGACTGCATTTGATGCCAGGGTATTGTTCCACTGCGGTTTTACACGAATTATTAATGCAGAGTTGATAGTTAAATCTCTATAGACAACTCATCCCTGATCTGCTTTGGAACTTCTACTGGAGTTCACTTACAATAACTAGCCAGTATTCTGAGAGGCTTGAAATCAAGCCGGTCTAGTGAGTACTCACAGGCAATCCAAACCAGACAATCATTATGGAGTAAAAGGGAAAGGCCACACAGGCAAATGAATATATATAATTGCTACACGTATTGGGGGGGGGGGGGGGGGGGGGGGCTCTAAAGTTCAGGGTAAGACAATGTTCAAAATCGCAAAAAAGAGGGTATAATGATGGATTCTAACCACCTGCAATGGACGAACAGGGAATCGAACCCTGGACCACTCCCAGATTATTCGGATGAATTATGCTAAGGGAGTATTATACCACTAAACCATTCGCCCGATTGGATATTAGGGTAAGACGAAATCGTGTTCATGTTCGCTGCCAGTGATTCTTGGACAGCTGTAGCACCTTAGCTTGGCACACTCTGTTCATGATATCTATTTTATCTTGATATTCTGATCGCAACTAGTTTTTTATGTCCTCAAAAATACTATCGCGAACTCATCTTTCGCCCATAGCCACACAAAGAAGAAAGAAAACCGTAATCCAAGCATTGGGTATTGACATCAACTCTTATCAAACTCTTCCAACCACAGTTCAAGAGACAAGCTTTACTTGGAGACTTCGAGTTAGAAATCAAAAAGAAAGTCTCATTTAACCTTCGAACAGTTGTCTCAGTCGTCTGAGATGTCCGGTAGTCGATAATATCGTAGTTACCAGCACACCATAACAGACCAACATGACCAGTCGGGTTATGAGATCAGGAAGTACCATCATCAACACCCCTAAACAGAGAAAGCTCATAGAAAACCCGTTTATAAGAGTTCTAAGAGGAACAAGTGGAGCGGCAGGTGGTGCTTGATTGACTCTGGGAACGTTTGTTGCCGTCCCGTTTGATAGAGCGACAAGGTCTGACGCACCAAGGAATTGAGTTTCCTCATCTATCAAAATCTGCCGATGGTTCAGATAAGTTCTGTAAGCTTGTATTTCGTCGTTCGTTGGCGACGGTCGTTTTTGCATCTCTTCCAGTGTCGACATTGCAATTCCTGACACTGTTAGACGAAGTCGTGCGAGAGTCTTTGATGCACTTACTGTACTTGCGAAGAATATTATCTATCGTGTCCATAAGATGAAACCTATCTTGATGGATCTGGCGGCCAAACCTCCGCTCTTCCCGAGCAGATATGGGCATATGACCTCCAAGTCGTGTAGTGATGGAATCCATGCGTAGTAGTTCTTCCTCCAACATCCCAAGCTGGTCTTGATAACACAAGAGGTTGCGGTGAAGTAGCCAGTCGAATCTTCGATATATGGGTTTCAGTTGTGGTTCGACTTGGCCGGAGATTCTGGCTGCTATCGATGCGTACCCATCCAGAGCTTCGATGGGGAGCTCTTCATTATTCGCAGCCATTTCGTCCTGGGTTTCTGGGTACGGAGTATCGTATGAAGGATTTTGATTGACAAAGGCAGGCTCCAATGCGCTAGCCTTTTGGTTCACGTATGTAAATCCAGGATGATAAGGTTGCTCGACAAGTGGAAAACCTGATTGCTGAGGTGAAAAGGGGTCTTGTGATGGCGGATAGCCAGCAGGAGTATGGTTTGGTCCCCAACCAGCGTATGACATGGGGCTAATAGGAGACTGAGGATAGTTGGCAACGGCAACAGTTGTTGGAGCATATGCCGAAGGCGCTGCTTGACGGCCGCTGGGTGGGTTCTTAAAATAACTTGATTCCGGGGACGATGCGAAGGCCTCAGGGGGGACAGAGTGCGGATCGGGCCCGGATGAAGATATACTGGCAGGTCGATGTGCTCCCTTGTTCCTCATGTTCCTAGATTCCCTTGGCATCCTGCTCCTGTTGCCACTGGGCTTAGTTACAGCTGTATCGTCGCTGGGTGTAAGCTGCGTAACGGCGGACCCGCTGACAGTTCGTTGACCGTTTGAGGGGGTGTACTCCATCTTGGATGACGAACTGGGCGGTGTTGGATAGTGAGTCGCACCCTCACTAGGCGACTGACTGGTTTTTTCTTCATAGTCTTCAACTGTCGATTGCTGGGACACTACTTTTCGTATGGGCGCGCCCTCCGAAGAAGACCACGAGGGCCGGGGTCGTGTTTGTGCCCTGTCGTTCATTGTGAGTTTGCGGTGTTCTTCCTGTGTGAGTTGATGTCTTAATCAATTCGTGTGGATGTTTTGTTCGATGAACCCTAGGCTATTGAAAAGGCCGCGGCCAAGGGCCGATATATCAAAGATATATTATTGTAATATGGAGGTATCCTTGGTAGCCTGCCGAGGATGTCGCCCTGCGATAAGAGTGCTGTTCTTCAAGCTTTCACTGAAGCATAGTAGGCATCTCAGTAGTATCGGCAGTATGTTGAGACTGTGATAAAGCCGAGCACAGCGTTTGACAGGATCGTAACACCCGGAAACTGATGCTAGAATCCGCGAGCAACCATCAATATGTCAGCCCAATAGTCTAGTAAGACTTGACATGAAAGCGTGGAAATTCACGTAAGACGAAGAAAAGCTCCCGATAACTTTGAGTGGAGCTTTAAAATGGCAGATAGCAAGAGCGAATGCAGGGGAGTTGATGAGAGTGCAAACTTCAAGACTCAACAAATCGGCATAAGATGACGACGATGATGATATGTCTTATATGTCATTGACAGTCAATGCGCTCGCCTGACTGCCTTGTTTCAAACGGCGACGGCGTGAGCAGCTGAGCCGCGGAGGCCGGCTGAGCACTTAAGCTTGCCATTGGAGTGCGAATTAAAGATGGTGGGGAGTCCGAGTGTTGGGTGGTATCAGAAGTAATGACTGTCGCATGTGAAGTGGTGTTGAGAGCAGTCTACCATGCGAACAGAGCCAAAAGAAGGACACTCTTTTGGCTGACATGGAATCGAACCAAGTTCACGTAAGAATAATAAGTGGGGGTTTCTTCAAATACATTTTCTGAGACTGGAAATAGATACTTAGACAATCCATGGATCAAATGTAAATATCAAGAGATACAGAATCTACAGACAGACGCAGGCAATTGAGATCCTGGTCTTCTGGGCACGTGATTGGATCATTGATCTTTAGCTTGTTCTGTATGCCGCTCCGAGCTAGGAGTTGATAACTCCACCAGAGCTTTAAAAAGAACATCCAATAATTGCTTCAAGACCCCCCTCGAAAGATCAATTGAGTTGGAGTAACCACAATTTTGAGGCCGTTTTGATGATTCGCATATGATCAGCCTCATTTGAGCTGCCAAGTCACAGTACATTCCGCCGTAACCCTCCGTTACATCCATCCCTCCAATCAAACACCACCACACCAAGCAAATTGGAAAGCTTGGGGTCTTGATTGATATCGCAGTATCAGACCACACGAGTTCGATTACGTTTGGAAAAGCCTGACTCTGCAGGTATATGGCCAAACCCTTGCACTTCTTATCACCATGTCACGAATATCAACATCTGTCCTCAGCAAGTATCTGTTGAAAGGGCAAATACCTCGTCAAGGATGTATCAGTGCGCGCCATATATCCAGAGTGCCATCAGCAGCCATATCCATCGCCAATACGACAAGGCGGTTGCATATTGCTCCTGAAGTTATCACACCACCTCCCGAGCAACCAGTGCCTTTACGGAAGCAGCTAAAGGACGAAGCCAAGAAAGCCAAGAAGCAAGGCAAAAAGAAGCCAAAGGGTGATTCTCAAACTGTCGATGGTTGGGAATTGACCGTCGGTATCGAGATCCACGCTCAATTGAACACTGCCCACAAGTTATTCTCACCAGCTGTCACGTCTTTCAACGATGAACCCAACAGCCATGTTGCTCTTTTCGATGTTGCCATGCCAGGAAGCCAGCCCTTGTTCCAGAAGGAAACTTTAATTCCCGCTTTGCGTGCAGCATTGGCCTTGAATTGCGAAATTCAAGAGGTTAGCCGATTTGACCGAAAACACTATTTCTGGTGGGATCAACCCTCTGGATACCAGATCACTCAGTACTATGAACCCTTCGCCAAAAATGGGCATATTACTCTCTTGGCTCGAGATGGAATTTCTCCTCAAGATGGCGAAAGTGTGACGATCGGAATCAAGCAGGTTCAGCTCGAGCAGGATACTGCCAAGACGCTCGCTCAGACTGGCAAGGTTCAATGGCTCGACTTCAACCGTGTGGGCGTCCCTCTTATTGAGATTATCACTGAGCCTGAACTTCACCACCCTCGCACTGCTGCCGTTCTTGTGCGAAAGATTCAGATGCTGTTGAATACCGTCGACGCCTGCGTCTCGGGTATGGAAACAGGAGGTCTGCGAGCTGATGTCAACGTTTCTGTTCGAAGAACTGATGGATCTAACCCATCTCTCGGCACAAGAACTGAAATCAAGAACTTGAGTACCATCAAAGCAGTTGAAGACGCAATCATTGCGGAACGTGACCGTCAAATTCGCGAGTTAGAAGACGGACGCTCTATTCCTAGTGAAACTCGCGGTTGGTCTATTGGATCCACTGAAACACGGCGACTACGTGGAAAAGAGGGCGAAGTAGACTATCGATATATGCCCGACCCTGATATCGCGCCTCTTGTCATTGGAAATGACCTTGTAGGCCACTTGCGTCAGTCACTGGCTGTCACTCCTGATTCGGAGCTGGATACTCTGATTGCCCGATTCGGCCTTACGGCCAAGGATGCGTTGTCTCTGATCAACCTGGAGAATGGCTCACGTGTTCAATACTACTACAAGGTCCTTCAATCCATCCAGGACCGGCTTGCGGAAGATCTTAGTGAGGCCGAGATGCCCGACTTCAAGAGTTACTCTGCTCTGGTGGGTAACTGGATCATCCACGAACTTGGCCGCCTGACTACTTACAAGGCTGGACCACTTGCAGCCCGTGATTTAACGTTCACGCCAGAAGGCGATTGCGAGCAAGTTCCTGACTCAGACCTATCACAGCTCCTTTACCACCTGATCCGCAAACAAATCACGGGCAAAGTTGCCAAGGAACTTCTCTTTGCCATCTACTTAAAGGAGATCGAAGGTGGAGTCACTCAAGCAATTGAAGAGAACGATCTGTGGTTCAAAGAGATTCCAGAGGAGGAGTATGAGCAGTTGGCTGATGAGGCCATGGAAGGAGAGCACAAGATCTTGCAGGAGTTTGCTACCTCTGAGACATTTCCTCAGGGCAAGCTCATGTTCCTTGTGGGAAAGATGATGCGTCTCGGACCTACTGAGCGCATTGTTCCTGCAAATGCTGAACGTGTCATGAGGGCAAAGGTTGAGGGTCTGCGAAACTCGTGATTCACCCCCACAACCAGAGGAAATGTTACAATGATCAATAACACAATTCTTCTCTCGTCACCTGAAATGTTCACATAAGAGCGTCGTGTCACCGGATTGTTGGCTGACGATGGCTTTTAGCCCACGACTAAAGATAGTTTACCAGTCCAACAATGAGGCTTTGGCCGGGCATCACTGGTGTCACCAGTGGTTCTCTTGCGCGTTGAAGCACAAGGTAGCAAACACGGATCAGTCGATACAAGGCATGGCACAGTACCTAGAATAAACCACTCCTTCTCTCCTTCTAACGTATTTTTCGAAAGCAAGTTTGGTTATGACAAACTCTGGTGCATCTACGACAAGCTTGTTTCTCAAAACTAACAAACTCATGGCTACTATGTTTCCAACAGACGTTGCAGTTCCTGCTCATGAGGACAGAGACGTCCCACGAACTTGGCAATCCAGCCATGGTTCGACATTTAAAACAGTTGTCCACAGCGACCGAGACAGCGAGAGTGGTGTCAAGACAGAGACACTGTGGGAGACGATGAATCCATATTCGAGTGATCGAGATGGTATATCTAATACTATACCAACAGCTTCTTCATCAACTACTACAGCGACACCTGTCGCTACTACAAACAACTATACTACTTATTCTACTGCGACTCCTACTGGCAGCCAGAGCTCTGATTCTCTGGCTTCAACATTACACCACTCCGGTGGTCTATCAGACGGAGCTATAGCTGCTATAGTAATCGGTGTTCTCTTCGGCTTAGCCATTATAGCCCTGGCAACATGGCTCTTGGTTCGAAAGTCACGAAGACGCTCAAGAGTGACCCAAGTTACTACTCCGCAGACCCCGATCTACAGTCCTTCACCACCTAGTTCCCCATTACCAACACCTCCTCCTCTAACAGAATCGGGTAACGACCGGATTTCGAGCTTAGAGGATTCATGGGTCAGTTATGGCGACCGTGTCCGATCACCTACGCCTCAGCCCGCAGTGGCGGAGATGAGAAGCTTTACTCGAGCGTGGCAGAAGCCTCGGGCATATACTATTAGCAGAGGCCGTATGACTGAGGCGCAAGGCTCAGAAGGCTCAGAGCCTCCGCCAAGTCCCGATGATGATATGTCACCTATCTCACCTATGTCTCGAGCTGGTTCTTCCCAGGGTGATCGACGTGTTGTAAGCCCAGTGTCATTGATTTCAAGGTTCAGCTCAATGTCAAACAGAACAGATCAGAGTCGAGAGCAAGGAGAAAGTCAGAGGAGAGCGTTCTAATAAGGATTTTGCGTCTTGGTTATTGGAGAGACCTTTTGCTCAATAGGGGCTTACTTAATCTCGGTGTTTCTGAATGAGGGTGAGACGACGAAATTTTGTGCTACGGCTTCGTCGCTTACGGATAGGAGATGGGTCCGAAAGGGAGCATTTTGAAGTTTCTTAGCTATTTAATTGCGCAATAGATAGGACAGGGGAAGGTCAAGGCAATTTAATTTATGTTTAGGATTAATCAGAGATGTCTCAACCTTGAATCATGTTTCAATATTCCATATTTGGTGCATTTACGGCCAACGAGGACGGTATAAGTATTATGCAGTAATAGAGAGTAGCAAGATAGATGTTAATTTCGAATCACTAGCGACATTCCCTTGGCAAGGCTTCATATTCACACTGCAAATGTTTCTGCAAAGTCAAACATTTGCAAGCTAATTACTAATATCGAATGACTCCAGACTCCCTGCGTGCTGACACACGGTAATTCTCCGAAACAGAGGGAAAAGGGCCACAGCAAAGCAAGGTATGTTCTCACCAACCCCATGTTGCCTCGTTCCCTAAGCCCGCCCTTGCTCCTCTCATGCTTTTCCATCATGTTCATGACTATGACCATGACCATGACCATGAGCTGCCTGCAACACTTCATTATCATACTTGCCAGGCTGAAAAGCATAATTCAAGTTCTCTCTATCCTTCAAAAACATATCAACCCTTTCATCTTTAGACCTACCCGCCGCGAGTGTATTACGGCGGGCAACCTGCTGCCCAATGGCGAGGTTGGACTGGTTCTTCATTTCCATGAGATCGGCACCGTATTGATCTGCTCTACTCATCTGGGCAAAAGCGCCTATCATGCACATGACAACGACGAGAGTGGCAAAAAGGCCATTGGACATGTATAGGGGGTCCTTAACCCTGCCATCACGGGCATTGTACCAGCGTTCCCAGTCTTCCCATGTAGCATTATGTGCGGCAGATCCGGCTCTGTGACGCCAGGCACGGTCGGCGCTGCGGACAGTTTCGTTGAGTGTCTGAGGCCGACCACCGGTCCATCCTACACCATGGACATCATAGAGTTGGCGCTTAGAAGGATCGCTAAGAAGGTCGTTGGCAGCAACAATAAGGCGATACCGTTCTAAGCGGATCTTGTGTGGTATGTTATCGATATCGGGAGCATGGCTGTGTCGGTCGGGGTGGTAGACTTTGACAAGCTGATAGAATCGATGCTTGGTATACGGGGCGTCACTCTTCATGGCGAAGATCTCGTATGGAGAAGGATAAGAGGTCTTAGGCCATTCAGGTACCTCATGGCTGAAGCTGCCTCTTTGGTCGCTATTCACTGTAGCATATCGCCTATATCGGTCTATTGAGCAAGTCGTTGTTGGTGCGTAGCTAAATCGTACCCCTCTAGATGACGTTATAGACCGGATAGGCGTTATACTGGACACAGCGGGAAAGGTATTGCAGGAGCCGAGAAAAATAGCAGATTTGTTCAACGGCATGACGAATTTGGTGAGTGGCATAAGCCTAGAGACATTGAAAACATGTTCAGCACCACGAGCTGTGAGGTTTTGGATATTGCGGATTGAGCATGTTAGAGCAGGAAACGATAGCTACGAAGATGGAGGTTTAAGTGGCGTATCACGAGCAGCGAATGAGCATGCGCACCATCCATACCCGTAGATTCCGTTCCCCACAATCGGTGACTGAGGTGGCAGGGATTATCTAATGCCCGGGCCACCCGACCACGGCGATTGAAGCCACAGCCGCCATGGTCACGAGACCAGATGTTTCTTCACCGAGATGTTCACCACGGTGAAGGAATCCTTCAAGGAATCCCTGCTTCGATCTGCCGACGTCCCGAGATACCCTTGCATTCGACGACAGATTCGTTCACATTATCCGTTCGGGTTACCACTGTATTTCCTTCCAATCGCTCCCGGGTAAAATCAGTCAAAAGCAACTCCAACCGACGATCAATTCGAAGCAGAGCAATTCATTCAGCCACCAACACTGCCGACGTATCCGGCTCTTGAAGCATTGAAATACTATCTCTCATCGAGATGAAAGACTTGTTACCCTGAATCATGCGGCAATTATTTGAATGTAACCGAGCTTCCATTCGAGCGCTACCGAGGATATTATCAACTTATAAAGGATATAAGTACGGGAATAACAAACCGTCTTCCACGCCATGTCATCAGAGGCGCTACGCTAAGTCGGGAGCCTCGATCTGGACAAGATTCACGTATCTCTCGTTCTAGTTAATTCCGTTTATGCTTCTCCTCATTTGAGTCAAAGTCCGACTCCGCGATTTGGGGTAAATGGCAAGATAATGCTCGTCACATATGGGGAAGACCTGTCAAGAGATCAACCAGACACGCGGTACCTGGGGACGGCAGTTCCAGTGCCCGTGAGCCAATGAAACCATCCGCAGTATGAACATGACTCTTGATAGCCTCGTTTTTACCACGTTATGAGCTGAAGTTTGGTGGAGTTCATCAGCGGAATTCTTCCGGCAACAATGACAATCACTCCACTTATCAACGACACAATTCGGTCGTCATCTCCACCGCAGGCTTTTCTCTGCTTTACTAATGCTACTAGGGTGATTTCTCGTGGGAATAACTCCGACCTGCAGCTCCCCTGCTGGTTCATGTTGAGGCTCGGTACTAGCTGAGCCAGGATTGATCCTCCCGGCTTGGCGTGAGCCTCAACATTGGTCTTGAACAATTCCCAGCTTCGAAGCCGAGGATTCTAGGGGTATCTATTTTTCACTTCGAGCGGAAGACGCTGGCCAAAATAAACGGCCCAATGCTCAGTGGTTTATATGATATGATTTGAAATCTCCGCGGGTACAGATACTTGACTCGAACCTAGCCAACCATTGCCACACAATTCTCATCACCAACTTATGACGACTGGATTATACCCTGGACACTGGCTCCGCTTCGTCTAAATCACCCCCAAGCACAGTCTCCAGCATGGCATATCCGCGTGCCGACATATCCAGCATTTCCCGGGATAATAGCCCCTGCAAAGGTTCCGTCACACCATGTTGGGAACCTCCACATTGGGCCTATTCTCCACGCCCATCCTTGATCCTCGGCCCTTTGGTGATGTTCTTGCTCAAGGGCTGTTAGTGTCGTGGGTCGTTGAGCTCGGAAGATGGGCCACGTTCCAATGAGCTTGACTATCACAATTGGATTATCAGTTCTCAGCCTGTTGCTGATCCTGCCAGTGTGACCTTTTGGAACTTGCCGTTCCCACCCTCCAACGGACCGATGGAGTCGAAGGTCCGTTCGTTCGTCATCTCAAAGTTGAGTTTGGGGTAGATCTCGTACCCAAGTACGAATGATGGAGATATAAAGCTATGTCCGGGACCCTATGTGCGTTGACCAGATCTTTCTCCAGACCTGTACCCCGAATCTTTCTATATAAGCTTGTTTCCCTCGTATTCAGTGATACAGTTTATCACTACTCAATCTTCATCCATTTTAGTGCAACACTCAGACAACATGTCTTCAGGCACTCCTCCCTCCCATGGGGCAACCACCCCTACGCAGTACACAGACAAGGAGGAAGGCCACTATCACTGTAATCATCCCAACCATTACTATGAAGAACGAAACAGGAATATTCAGAAGCCTCACCAGTCCATGGTGTCGCAGGTGTACAACCCTTCGTTCTTCAAGGTTGCCAATCCTGGTCCTTTAGGTTTGATCAGTTTTGCCCTGACTACCTTTGTGCTCGGCCTCTACCAGTGCGGTGCTGGGTAAGCCATTCCTCTCTACTTGGGCATAGTTTTACATACTAATCCTGTGTTACAGTCTCCCTGGATCAAATCCCTTCGGCGGCGTCGGTCCTGATCAAGCCATCTTTGGTCTGGCAGTATTCTTTGGTGGCATTGCTCAGCTCTTTGCAGGCCTTATGGAGTTCCGCGTCGGTAATACCTTTGGTACTACCGTCCATTGTTCCTACGGTGCCTTCTGGCTTGCCTTTGCCATGTTCTTCGTCCCTGATCTTGGTATAAAGGACGCATACAAGGGCGATGACCGCGCTTACAGCTTTGCATTGGGTATCTTCTTGATTCTATGGTGTTTCCTCACTCTTATCTTCTTTGTGGCCGCTCTCAAGACCAACATTGCGATCCTCATTGTTCTTGGGTTCTTGTTCCTCGCTTTCCTCTTCCTCAGCTTGGCTCAGTTTCTGCAGACCACCCACCCCACTGCTGCAATTCGAATCAACAAGACTGGAGGTGTATTCTCATGCATCTGCGCCTTCGCAGCTTTCTATGCTGGTGCTGCTGGTATTATGACTGAGGATACGACATGGGTTCGCTTTCCGCTTGGCGAAATTGATGTCCGGCCCCAGAAGACAAACATCGCTTAAACACATGGGGTTGTAATGTTATGAGTGAAAGCAAATGAAAGTGGGCAGCAAATTCGTTTCATAATGCGTAGTGGAATAAGAAGGAATAAGTATGTTTTAGACCCTAATGATATGAAGATAAGATGGAGACGAATAAAAAGATATGATATCAGAAGACAGCGTTCTCAAGTTAATGACGTCAGGTTTCACTTGGCCCTGAGACATGCGTCACACAGGAGACTGCATGTCTTTTGTTTTCAGTTGTGGTATGATCACGTGGTAAAACGCCAATTAATTTGGTCATAGTCGTGATGAGTTTAACACAAGATGAATGTGTCGATTGATTGTCTTAATGCATGAAATTTGCTCCCCTAACCGTATGATGCATGGCTAATCGTACAACAGACCATCGCTGGATCTGAACTTCATTATATCCCATTTCAATCATAACAAGTCTAAGCTTTGCTTACAACTTGCCCTTGACCTCCTCGGCGGCACCCTTCACCTTGCCCTTGGCCTGCTCAGCAGCGCCCTTTGCCTCACCCTTGAGCTCCTGAGCCTTGCCAGCAGCCTCTCCTCGGAGCTCCTGGGCCTTTCCGCTGGCGCTGCCGCCAGTCACATCCTGGGCAGCATCCTTAGCCTTTGCGGCAACGTTCTCTGAATGTGTTTATTAGCAATTGGTCCTCTTCAGTTAGGTGAGTTGGAAACTAACCACCAGCCTCAATGCCGTCAACGATCTTGTCGCTCACAACACGATCAACCTTCTTGGCAGTGTCCTTGACAGCATCTGCGGCAGTTCGCTGCAATGCAAAGCTGGTGGTGAATGTTCGAGGAGCCTGGAAGGCAATGACGCGAGGAGCGAGGGCTACACGGCGGATGACGTTCTCTGTGAGGAAAGACATGATGATGCTTGCTGGTGTTTTGTTGTGGTGAAGAGTTTGACTAGGATCGTTTATTTGGTGAGGTAGGAAAAAGTCAATTAATGAAATTAAAAAGAATAGAGAGAGCTTTTCAAAAGTGGAAAGAGATAAAAGGGAAGCTCTTGTAACTTATGTTATGACGACGGGAGCTTGTCATAGCTGCATGATGTCACTCGCGGGGAAAGAACTCCCTGTTGCGGCGCGACCAAGGAAGCACGTGAAGAAAGGAGAGGTAATGATGACGCAGTGAGGCTTGAAATAAACGGGGAGAAAGCGCTGAGCTCAGAACGAGCTTGCCCTCTTTTTGCGTTTTGTGTTCAATCTCATCATCGAAAGATCCCGCGGCCGATCGCTGAAGAAGGTTTGGGAGCTCTTGTGGGGAAAGTGCGTTTACAGAAAAGAGGCTGATGTTAGTGTAGTGGAAGGTACCATCAGATCTACCTTCTGGCAAATTTGTTAGGACACGATCTATAAGATCCATGTAGCTTAAACTCAGCTAAACCTCACCTCAGGGTGTCAAAAGACTTAATCTGAGACCTTGAACCAGCGGGCGAAAAATACCTTGTCAAAGAGCCTGCTAAACATATCCATAATTATCCTAAACTTGTCTGTGTATTTTATCAGTTTAATTTATGACCGAAGTCTTAAGTCTTCTGCCATCTTTGTAGCCCTATCATTGTCCTTGACCTTATTCAATGATTAATAGATTTAGCTTCATATTGCATCAAGCTTATTTGCTTTCATATCGGAATGGGATTTAAATCTAACACATTAACTCATATCAGCTTATGCAATGATCATCAGCCGTCATTATCATGAAAAAAGAACAAAATTTCATGAGTCATCATTTCGTTATGCCTTTGACATCTCTCCCGGCTCTTATACCCTCTGGCATTGTCGCTCTTGTTCCTGGCTCTATCGCTTCGCCCTCAATATCTCGAACGTCGTGATTCGAATCTCCCAACCGCAGAGTAGCAGCTTGTCGAATCATAAAACCCTCATCTCTGGCTCTAGGCTCTGGTTCGTCGCATTTCTCGTCGGTCTCATTACCATCCTCAATGACTTCATCTGCAGATGTCCCCACTCGACCGTTTATAACGTTGTCGATACGTAGCCTGGGTGGACCTGAGTTGAGCCTCATACCGTTCTTGGGAGGTCCAGCTACATATGCAGTCAGCAAAAAAAGTAACTCGAACGTATTTAGTCATATACTCACAAAGCAGGAGATCAAACAGCTTGACAATGACAGGTCCCCAGACGGTAACGGCTATGATCTATCGAATATCATGAGATGAGTGAAATTGATAAGGGGATTGGGGACAACTAACCTGGCCATATGACCATCTGTTAGCAGCAAAACTCTCGGCATTGATAACTTTTGTGAGAGAAATCATGTACAAGATGTTGATAACGAGATACGCGACTTCGAGGATGCGCCAGAACCATATCTTGATAAAAAGTCCTCTTTTCTGCTTCCCCCAGCGCGGCCATCGACCAAGACGGTACGATCCAATCTGAACATGTTTGGTGAGATGATGCTTGCGAAGCGTCCACGCCAGCTGATCAGCTACCAGGGCGATGATGGCAATGGTGTCCAGAATAAGAAACGTCATTTTGTACAACAGAGGATGGGGAAAGAAGCTGAAGGACTGTCCATCTATACCTTGAGTTGCAGCGCAATACGTTCGCGGACTTGGGTTGAAGCCGCACGCTTCTATCTCATTCTGGCTCTTGAACAAAGCAAACGCGTCTTTGAAGTAGATCTTTTGCGAGGTTGCGACAACGGCGAGGAGATACTCCATGAAGAAGCCCAAGAATGTGTGCCAGTTACGAATACCCTCATGATGCAGACAAACCTGGACGAGAAACATTGGTAATATGCCATTCTGGCTGACATGAAATGCAATGGCAGCGTTGACAACGATCTCGCCCCAAAAGGTACCCTCTTGAGAGTTGACAACAATGGCAAGAATCGATGCAATTTGAACAGCAAAGACAAACCAGCACTGAGCTTCTTGAAACTCGACCAAGGTGGTTGCAATGGCAATACTCGTGCGCGACAGGCCACCGGAGTCACGCCAGATCATACTCTCAATTCGAGTCAGACTGCGCTTCAGGCGATAGGGTTTGGGTTCCGATTTGCGACGGCTCGTATCTTGCGTAATGGTGACCCAGAGAGTGAAGCCTTTGAGGAGCAGATACAAGGATGCAGCGAAGCATACTTGAAGAACATACGAGATGAGAACCTGAAGCCCATGTCAGTGTCTGGAGAACTCAACAAATGTCAATCGGACCTACTCCTGGTCCAAAGATATCTGGATTGACCTCGGCCGGTAACTCTGGGCAAAACTCGTCCAGGGCCTCGAATATCTCCTCAGGGGTTGAGGTATCATAGGAGAGGCGGTCAATTGTCCGGTTGCAAGGTTTGCTCAGACCATCGTTATCACAAGAATCTTGAGCGCAAGCGATGAGAGATCTGAGAACAGGCCGACCGTCAAACTCGGATAAAGTACCAGATCCCATGATTACGCTCGCATTGCGCTCAGTCTCTTGGCTGACATAGTAAGATTTCGCATCTTGAGTCCAATGCGCCGCAGCAGCCAGGGCCGCGCAATTGTAAAAGGTCTCCAATGAGCTGAAAAAGAGGCTGGATTTGTTACAGGCGCGTGTGCAGTCAGTTCTACCATCAACTTGGCACCCAGAACTAAACAGAGTTATTTCCTGGTTCCCATCGAGACTTGTGGCAAAAAGCTCTTTGAAAGTGAGTCCTGAGTCGACATCATCGGAGCCGGAGCCGAGACCGGCGATGTCAAGAAACGGGAAGAAATCCGATGTCCCTTCGATGGAATTGCGAATGAGGATAGTGAGAGGTGTACTCGAGGCTGTAGATGATGGTAGAGACGAGGCGAAAGTTGTAGAAGTCGATAACGATTGTAGAATGGATGCTGATGCCATCGCGGAGATGTCTCTTAGTGAGACGTAGTGTATCCTCCACGGACTCAACTAACAACGTCTATCCATCGTCTTTGTCTGTCTTACGGCTATATCACTCGATGAGCCAAAAGAATAAGAAAGGGAGAAAGAGAAGATCAACAGAAGTTGGAGGAGGCTGAAGATCCAATCCAATGGGGTCCAATTCGTCGCTGACTGGGATCTGGGCTCGCTACTGTAATTAGTCTACATGACGTTGTCTTGGCACGTTTCCCCAGAATGGAAGAAGTTTAGAGAAGTTTGTTTGGCGGCTGAGATGGGCTTGGTGTTCTTGGCTTTCAAAGTTAAAATATACACGATATTAAGCAATTCCCATCAAGATTTAAAAAGAGATATCATATCACAACTACTTGATATAACAGCTTCTGTTGATCGTCGCCATGTCAATTGTATGTGGAACTCGGACCAACTCATCAACTCCACCAAACATGCTTCGTCGATAGTAACAACACTATATCCGACTCATGGGGGTTATGAAATATTAAATAGACTTTCAACAGGCAAGGATATATATAACCGTCTGAAGTTAAATTAACCATAAATCTACGGATACTTCTCTTAAAAATCCCGTCCTTGTCATATCGGTTATCGGCTTAACATAATGAACCGATACCAACCGATGCACGTCATTCCTCGGCTCGCAATGCCGTGTCTAAGATACCTTAATATACAAAGCTTCAACTTCCCATCACCAACCCCGACCTAGCGATCTCCAATTAATCTGCCCAAAATGGCTCCTCGTCTCTCTCAACCCGTAGTAACCCTTCGTCTTCTCAGACGTTACTACTCCTCTACCGCCGAACCTCTCATCCGCGTAACGAACCTCCCCGCGCCAAACACCGGCCATATTCGTATTCTTGAGCTAAACCGTCCATCTGCGCGAAATGCCATTTCGAAGGCTCTCCTAGCGAATCTACGCGCTGAGATCGATGCTGTGCATAGTCAATATGGACCCAATGGCGAAGAATTGCCGCTGCAGAAGCGTTTTGGTGGTGCGGCTGGTGTAGATGAGAAGGGTCCCACGAGAGCTGTTGTGCTGGCTAGTGCAGTTGATACATCGTTTTGCGCTGGCGCGGACCTGAAGGAGCGTAAGGGGATGAGTCAGGGAGAGTCAGTATTCCTCGTATCAAATATGAATGTGCTATACTAATCATTGAGTACAGAACTGCTGAGTTTCTTACAAATCTCCGAAACACCCTCACATCTCTATCCAACCTCCCCATCCCTACCATCTCAGCCATCTCCTCGGTGGCCCTCGGCGGCGGTCTCGAGCTCGCTCTCTCCACACACTTCCGCGTTCTTAGTTCCAACGCAACAGTCGGTCTTCCTGAAACTCGTCTAGGCATCATCCCCGGCGCCGGCGGCACCCACCGTCTTCCCGCTCTTATCGGCCTCTCCCGCGCCCGCGATCTGATCCTGACCGGCCGTCGCGTTGGAGCTCCAGAGGCATACTTTCTAGGTATTGCTGATCGCCTTGTTGAGATTGTGCCTGAGGATGAGCGTGATGGCTCAGATGTTCTTGGCGAGGCCAGAAAGGCAGCGTTGAGTGAAGCTGTGAGACTTGCGCAGGAGATTTGCGAAGGAGGACCGATCGGTGTAAGGGCTGCTCTTCAGGCTGTTGCCTGGGCAAGGGAAGAGGTTGAAAACAAGATGTATGAGCGAGTCGTCAATACCGAGGATAGAAACGAAGCTCTCAAGGCTTTCCAGGAGAAGAGGAAGCCTATTTTCACTGGTCGATAAGGCATATTAAAGACCTTAAAGAGTCAACATGAAACCACGGGCAATGTGGCCAGTATGAGTTTGTCTGAAAAATTGACGAATTGGCCATTGTAAATAGATGGAGCAAACTTCAAGTTTTGATTTTACAACACATGGAACAGTATGCAATGCCGTGTCTGCTATTCTTTCTGCATCTATCTGATCCTCTGGGTATGTCATCACTCAAGAAATCCCACTCCAAGAACCTGCTAGTTGCATGAACCCCGTTGAATGGTTCTTTTGCCCAATCGCGGGCTTATCCCTTTCAACTACCTGTCCTTCTCACACCACGGGTTACGACTCCGTTATCTCTTCGTCCTCGGTAGCCTTGTTGGGTTTTTCCCCAAGGTTTGCTGCTTTGACAATGTGATGCACCATGCCGCGGGGCTCACGGCGCCGGCTGTCATCAGCCAGATAATTTGTCTGAGGTTTCACCTTCAACTTAATCCGATTTTTAGCCGCTCTGTTAGCCGCTCTGATAGCGCGATCGGGGTTTTCAAGTTCAAATTTCTTGTACATTTGAGCTATCTTGTCCCAGTTCTCGGGGGTTAATTTTACATGTATCACAGGTTCTGTTTCGGGGTCATCCAGAGACTGATTTTCAGAGGCATGGGGCAATTTTGGGGGTTCTGATGATTTAGATGCAACCCGCCTAGATCCTAGAAGGGCTGTGTCATTTCGAGATTTTCGAGTGGTCCGAGGTACTCGCTCACTTCCCTTGGATAACCGATCATCATCCTTGACAAGCTTTGGTCGTTTTGTAGGTGATGGCGGAACTTCATACACGTCCACTTCTGTAGAAGAACCAGGATCGATTTCATCCGACAAAGAAAATCGTTTAGCTAGGCTTCGAGGGGGTTGAAATCCAGAGGCCGCCGCCGCGCCCGTTTTAGCTAGGGCTGGTTGTTTGGACTGAACGGACGCTTGACTTTTTCTAGCCGGCAATGGATGAGGTTTCTAGTCACTCTTTTGCTCCGAGTATGCGGGCGGAAGTTCCTGAGGAGACTCTGAGGTCTTGAGCGGTTCAGTATTGGTGACTTTGGTATCTCCATCGGCGTCAAGGTTTTCGAACGGGGCATCTGATTGTGGCGCTGGTCTTCGACGCCGAGGCACGTCGACGTATTTCTCCTTGTCTTCATCACGGACATAGCAAAGAAAGTATGGCTCTCCACTGGTGCTCAATGTGTTCAAAACTTCATCCGTGCTGCGTTTGACCTCGACGTTGGAATCATTGTATTTGCGCCAAACATCCTGTTCAAAATCGTAAATCCATACCCAATAGTGACCAGACATCAGCTGGCCACGATGGCAGATGACTGCATGGAGCCGATATGGATTGCTCTTCAACTTGGAGTAGTAGTTCTCCAGGACTTCCTCCTTCTCTCTGAGCTCAGAATTCATCTTCTCCCGGATGGCGGTCTCGGTGTCTTTGATGTCTTTTGGCTTGGAAGGTAGATCAGCCGAGATCACTGGGTTTACACTAGGTCGGCCGACAAGAAGATAATCGTCATCGACCGTACCATCGAAGTCCCAGTCCTCTTCCACGATCTTCACACCATCTGCCATTTCACTGTCTTCTGTGACAGCTGCAATACTGCCATTGGCTTCCTCTTCTTGTCCAAAGCTCTCCAGGATGGGTCCAGTTGGAATCGTGCTCTCAACTGCAGCCTTGGAGGCTTTGATGTCAGATATGCGGCTGGCGGTGGCCCAACCCTTGACTCTTTCTCTGAAAGTCGACGACTCGTGATGGGCATCCATGTATCGGTCGAGGTATAATGTTTCAGGAATTTGCACTGGGTTGCCATTCTTGCTCCCCATAGACTGCGACCGTTGAATGAGTACGTGCAGAACAGGGGGCAGCGTCTTGATGGCTGTATATCGTGAAAGTTTGTCTTCTTCGATAATTTGCTGGTCGAAATTTCGGCCCAGGGCTTCGTATAGTGAGCATGATCCTTCGGGGGCGGGGAATGCTGTGATAGACCGATCGAAGCTAATTTCCTTCTGGTAAGTCTTGTCATCAAACTTCTTGGTGTAATTGATGGTGGTAACGAAGAAAGTTTCCATGATCTCTTCTAGTTGAATACCGCTTGACTCGTCAACGGATGATGGGCGTATAGCGGCTTGAAGCCGATTGATGATGCTACCCATTACCTCTTCTACATCCTGCTGGTCGGTGCCAGAAGACCTTTTTTGGTGTTCCAGAGCAGTCAGCACCTTCTGGTCGACCGTTTGTGGCTCCTCAGCATCCGGCATGTTGACATCGGTAGACTCAATATCCTGAGATGTGCCGTTCTTCCCTTTTTCGACGGCCTCGGGAATCTCCATAGGCCCATCACTTATTCGGCTGATTTCAATGACATCCTCATCTTGTCCAACCTCCATCACCGTATCAATTACCTGATCTTCAGTGGTTGTTGGAGAGGTCTCCACCTTCTCATAAGAACGGTCAGAGTCCTCTTCGACAAGGGTCTGCGAGCTGACGGTGCTAGCTGTATCAACTGGATCGCGGCTGTCATTAGCGGCTACAGTGATTATCTCTACATCATCTTTTTCCTTTGCTGGGGGCCCAGGGGGCGGTCGAGTAGGAAGCGGCGGCGGCCGAGACTCGGTTGTTGCTTCAGCAGAGCTCTTCGTATCTTTGAGAAGCGTGCGGGTGGACAAAAGGACAGCATTGGCTAGCCTCTGAGAGGGACGCGTTGCTACCTTGTCGGATTTTTCAAGGTTGTTGAAAAGATCCGAAAGCTCCTGTACAACTAAATTTGGTCAGTTAAGATGTGCGCCAACTAGAGGGTTTAGCTAGACAAGAACTTACAAGCTTGAGCAACGACAGCCTCGCCACGATCCAGCTGCATTTTGTTACCGCCGAGCAATCGCTCCTTGATTTTCTCATCCGTCAACTCGAGCTTGAACTTGTCATAGTTGACAACGACGTCTCGAACTGGTTTAACAGTAAAAAGATATTGTAAAAGGCTGTTGAGGTAGCAGGTATTTCCAATATTCTCCAGCCCGACCGGAAGATCAAAGTTCGCAGCTTGTGCTGAGACGCCCGTGGCGCTGCTTCCATCAGGAGCTGCAATACCATGCATTTCTCTTAACTCGCTAACTGTGCTCTTGAGACCTGTTGAATTCGTGTGCTCGGCGATCTTCTCCATAGCCTCCAAGTAAGTTGTCTTGGCGTCTTTGTCTTTGGCGTTTCGAATCTGTACGCTTGATTAGACTTATGCTCTAGGTTCAACAGCAACAAGCGCATATTTCTGACCTTTTCTTTGACGTTGTCCAGCGTATCGGGCCCAAAGCCACTAGCATCACTTAAGCCAAGAATCTCTTTCGCCGTAGGCAAAGAAAATCCTTCCCCATACTCCATCACCAACTCTGCCGTGTAGTTGTCATCGGTAGATGCTTGAGAGATCAGCATCAACATATTTCGAGCTGTGTTTGCACAGCTGGGATCTTGTGCCACCTTTCGTCGGAATGCCTGAACTATGGATTGTGCTTTGTATTCGTTCAGAGGCTGCAGCTCGAAGAAGAGCAAAGCCTGGTTTGTCAACCCGCCGTCATCACTGTTTGTTTGACTTTGGACTTGGCTCTCGAAGATAGATGATTGCATAACAGCGTATTCATTGAGCTGTTGGTCGTTAAGGTCATTAGCAATACTCACAAGAGCATCAATGAGTCCTTTTCGCTTATCAGGAGCCACTTCCCACTGTCTCTTGTAAGCATTGACAACAACCTCCTTCGGCTGATTTGGCAAAACGCCCATGATCTCGTAACGCGTAATTTTCACCAAGACAGAATCCACGTTCGGTTCCTCTGCGCATCCCAAATCGGCATGTAGACCAGGAGTGCAAAGCTCAGCAGGCTGTCCGCCTCTGTGTATAATGCATTGAACTTCAGATCTCACATCTTCAATGTACGCTCGATATGTCCCTATATCGGTAGCCCCAGAGGGATTGTCTGACTGAGGAGGGATCGGAGGTGTGAAAGTCCCTCCATCGACTCCATCTTCCATTACATCAACTTTTTCCTCGAATTCGAGTTGTCTGAATATTTCAAAGCATCGAGGCCCGAAGAGTACAAAAAATCGCTTGTTCCTCTTCGAAATGCTCCTGGCATTCTCTTGTGAAGTGGCCTCAAGTAAATTCTTAAGATATGTGTTCAGGTTCAGAGGAGCTTGCAGCGCCCAGTCATCAGTTGCTGCTGCGTACCGTTCCGGATCCTGTTCCTTGGCAAGGCGCACACTCTTACGAATGGTATCGTGATCAAGTAATAGGTCGATCCATTCGCGAGTCATGCGAGGCTCCGAGATTTCCAGTGTGACTGAGAACGTGCATGGACCGGCTGAGCATGCAAAAGGCTCGCGAGCAACTAGTGGGTAATACTTGTTTCGTTGTCTGTCAATCTCAACGAGTGGCGGAGATTGTGGCTCTTGCCCAACCCAAACAAGATGATGCCAGGGGAATCGCGCATCACTCAAAGGCCACTGTGCCTGCTGAGGATTGCACAACTCATGAGAGTGCTGCTCGTCCCATGACATCTTGAACACGAAATGAAAGTGGCAATCAAGGCACACCGAGGATAATATCCGCGTTGAGTTGGTTGAGTAACTCTGGTTACCATTTATCATCAGTCGATGGGGATGCTCCCATGGATATGGTACGTTGAGTTCTGTTTCGCCCAATCGTTCAAAGACATCGCATACAGTGAAGTTATTGTGCAAAAGTTCATATATCCATCTCGAAGGGTGACATCCTGGAAGCAGTACAGTTGGCTACCGAGCTTGATTCTTAGAGTAATTGTAAACATACCTCCCAAGTTTTGATTTTGTATTCTGGCTTTCAGAGGCGTCGAATTTTGAGTGACAGGTATTCCACTTGTGCCGGGCAAAGAAGCATAGCTGGTGTCCAGATCCAGTCCGGAGCTCAGGTCGTATCGGCTCGTCATGAGGAGCTACTTGGATGCTTGATCTATGTCTGATTGGCAATATTTCTCGAGGAACTTGCTCGTATACTTGTGATGTCGAAGGTGATATCGTACGTTGGAGAGGGAAGTGCTTGGTATTCCAGGTTATGGATTGTGGGGTGGCACTTGTTGGACTACTAGCAGGTGGGTAACCGTGGAATAAATGCTTTGTGCAACGTGGAGATACGGTCCGTTGAGCAAGTGAGTTTAGATCGGGGGAATATTCGGCTTCGTTTGCGCGGAATTCGTTGGATCGGTGAATGGAAACAACCTCAGTGTGGTAAAGGTCGAAGCTCTAGGAATGAAGATGATGAAATCGTACGGGTCTATAGCTTGGTGCTTATTTAATCATAATTTCGTGAATCGAGACCTGTGGCGAAAACAACGAATACTAAACGTCAACAAGAGGCTAGCTGAGAAGAGATAATTTGGATGCCTGGGAAACGTTTGACGACGCCCGAGCTGATGGCGACGTAGACAGTTGAGGTCAACGACAGTAGCTGACGCAGTTGCTCTTGGCCTGTGCGATAGGCGATGGGTGATGCAAGTGCTGAGTAAGCACCTTAATTAGGTGGAAGGCTCTATCTGGGCGTTGAAGGCACAACTTACACGACCCTGATTTATCAAATACGGAAGGCAATCCCTTATTCTATTACCTTCTTTTTCTTTCGTTTTGTTAAATTGTACCTATTAAAGCTGATTTAAGTTTTAACTTAGGTACTGAGGGAGATAAGTTCTATTTTGATGCCGAAGAGTCATGCGACGCCTTAGGCCAATATCCCACGCTACGTCCTGTTCCACACATGTGTTTTTTGTTCGCAATAAGCCGTACGTGTATGCACCAAGCATCACTAGTATCACTATATTTTCCTTTATCGATTACTGAGAGGTTTCTCATATAACTGATATCTGACGCGTCCCCCTGTTTAGCATGGCATCTAGTGACAACTCGGGCTCGTGCTACTCATGGAAACGAAGCAGCATGGGTAAGATTGACTCCAACATGAGGGAATGTGCCTGTTTGCCACGAATAGTTACACGAAGTGCAGACGATCCGTCAGCAAATATCCTTCTCCTCCAAGATTCTATGTAATGCAAAGTGTAACGTTCGTCTGGGGCCGGAAACCAAGCTCTAACGAATAACACGGATGTAGAAAACTAGTCGCCACCAATATCCAAGTGACTAGACTTCTCAAGGATGGAAATGTATTCTGTTTTTCTCTCTTCTTCTTAATTGTGACTACTAGTAGGGCAGATAGATGATTATGGCCTAGACTCATAGAAAAGTTGACGCAGAACCTCAAACATGCCTGAAGAGTCTCGTCTGCAATCTACTTACTAATTAAGTAGACGTTTGTTACTAACAATTTGAAAACACTGGTGATATCTTCAGCCCTCTTAATCCAAGGAAGCCAAAATCTAGGAAAGCGCATCAAAGGACGGCTGTCTCTTTTTGAGTAACACGATTTATAAGTTCCTAAATGGGGTGTCGTGGAATCGGCCTCGGGTATTATTGTTTGTAAGACTTCAAGTATCGGCTGGAAACAGTTCCTCTGATTCCATCGTCAACACCTTGGTACTGAGGCAGGGTTCTCTCCAAGCAGTATCGTTACCCAATACATTACAGAAATATTAGTATTACGTTTGTTACTATGCAAACTTTGACTTAAGTTGTAAAAATAGGACAACTTTACTCTTCAGTGAATAGCATCTACAGCAATGGAACTCAGGATATCACCAACACTCATACACAGCGTCCAATCGGAAACAAGTTGCCCCTGCAGCTCATCTTTCATTTCCCGCGCCACGGAAAAGCGCCACCAGGCACTAAAGCGAGGTAAAAGGCTCAGCGCTTGAGCGGTTAGCGCTCCGTCCAACCGTAACGGTCAATTAGCCGCCCATTCTTCAAGCCCCATATGCATATTCCCCTCAAACATTAACACTGCAACCACGTAATGGATTAAGTTGCTTCAAAAAATTTGTTTTCGAGACCCAAGTCCTTTCTTCTGGAGTGTTTGATGAGCTGAAAAGTATGTGGAAGAGGTCACCAGCTTTGGCCTCTTTCCTTGCAGTGGGACTGCCACCGTGCTGTGTTGTCTCTACAGATAATGTGGCACTCAGTAAGGATGAACCTCCCAGGACATAGCGCGGAAGCCGAAGTATCGGACTATTCACAGGAGCTAGTATTGGTTGACTTCAAGTCGGCGCTTAATCCAGGCTGGTTTTGTAAAGTTAGGTAGTATTGTATCCTTGACGGCCCAGTTATTCCTGTTTCGTGATAATGAGCCATCAACCAACATGCATATTCCTCTTGCCTTAACATATCTTCTGCTATTTTGCTAGAGATTCTGTTTACTCATTAGATCGAGAGCTGTTGGTTCTAAGCACTTGCTTCTTATGGAAAGCCTTGCTGTTCATCCATTGTAACCATGATACGACAGTCTTAATGCGGTTGTCGCCCGGCACTTGAACCTCGACATTTCTTCTTCTTTTTCCATTCATTTGTGTGGCGGGTGGCAGGCCACTATTTCACTCTTCATATATCTTAGTTATGTCGAGTTGGGAGACAACTGCCCTTCGGCTGCAGGGCAATGTGACCGCCGACTCAACACCAAGCTCTTTAGACAAGAGTCTACCACTACTACCAAAGAGAAGTGCAAAGGCTAGGACAACTACAGGCGTGACGGAGGTATCTACGGGGGAGAAAAGCTCCAGCACGAAAGGATGGAAACCGCTTTCGCTTTCGACGCCGATGTTACTCGCTATGATCGCACTTACGATTCTTCTCGCCGTCGCCGTTGAGACTTTAGCACAACGCAGTGCAGCACAAGGTGGTCTCGCTCTCTCGCCTTCTCTTGACGATATGCCCGGGTATGCCAAATTCGGCTATCTTTATGTGCCGACTATTATTGCCGTGTTATACAGTATGCTATGGAGTTGGATCGATCTGGACGTTAAGCGGATGCAGCCATGGTTCGAATTGTCGAAACAGGAGGGTGCCACAGCCGAGAACTCCCTTTTCCTGGACTACCAATATGAATTTGTGGCTTTGGTTCCTTTCAAAGCAGCAAAGAGAAGACATTGGCCTGTCTTCTTTGGGGGTACTGCCATGGTTATCGTCTTTTGGGCACTGACGCCCCTTCAGAGTGCTCTGCTAGGTACAGGGATTGTAAAGCAGATTGACATGGCCACACTCCTCAACAGATCTCAGCTTCTTCCTGTTGCTAAACATGTCGATATCCTAGATCCTGAATTTCTCAACACCGGATACGCTATAGGCTGGCTTGGTCAACAGTTCCCTGCTTTCACTACTGCTGACTATGCGCTACTCCCTTTCTATGCGGACACAAGCCTCAAACTCGCTAATGTCGGGAAAAATACAGCAGTCTCGCCTAATATTACTGCAGAAACGACAAAGCTTTGGACCGAGTTGAACTGTTGGCCAGCAGAAATCGCAAGAATAGGCCTTAGGCATCAAGAACAATTCAGCTTTCTAAACGGACAGGGCTGCAATGCAACTGCTGGCTTCGGAGCGAGGAACGAGACGAGGATGTTCTACATAGGCTACTTCACTAGCCCTTATTCGGACTTTCAGATTGCGAACCCGAGGTGTGGACGAACACCAGATTCGATCCATCAGTTTCTAGCTATATGGGGCAAAGCTATCCCAGTTGATTGGGACCCTTCGCCTACTTTCAACATCTCTGCCATGTTCTGCCAGCCTCAGTACTTCAAACAGAGAGTTCTCGCAACAGTTAACGCAAATACCTTGGAGCCAGACAGCAAGTCCATCAAAGAATTAGGTCCACGGGAAACACTTTCAGATAATGAATTCAACAGGACTGCTTTTGAGTATCTCTTGGCGAATGGTATGGCAGAGACCCCGATTGTTAAGGATTATCCCTTCAATGCTGTGGTTGAACAACACCCTCGATTAAATCACACCAATATCACGTTCCCTGTATCGAACATGGTTGGTTTTGCATTGGCGGGCAAGGATCTAGACAAAGACCAATACGTACATCACGATGTGCTGCACAAAGCATACAATGATGCTCACAAATATCTCTTCTCTGTGGCTACGACGACGATTTTGATGAACTCAACGAAATTCTCCAACACTACCGTCTCGGTCGAGTATTTCATGACTGGGGTTATAGTCAGTCGGGCTTTTGCGACGGCAGTCGAATGCTTTCTACTTGTTGTGACAATATTCACAGCCTTTGTTTTATGGTTTTCCCGGGCTGCGCCAAGTAACCTACCAGTAAACCCATCCTCGATAAGGCGATACATCGACTTCTTCGGCAGTAGCCCAGAAGCGCTCAGTGCATTCAAACCAATGGACCACACAAATGATGAGGGACTCTTCGAGGACTTCAAAATGGACGGCTTTCAGTTAATATCCAGAAATGACGGAGCGAACGTGGAAATACTTCTGCACCCGAGATTTCGAGCACCTGAATCCTACGACAAGTCTATTCAAAGAGGTTACTATGACCCCGTCAAGCCACTGGCCCTCAAGAGATGGGTCGGTCTTCTCTTTATTCTTGCATTGATAGGTGCTATGGCATTTTTGTCTTATTTGAAGCACCAGGAGTCTTCGCTAAATGGTTTGCCTAAAAGCTCATAGATGAGTTTATGGTTTTGCTGATACGCTTGCAGGTCTGATCCGTCCTTCTGATAATTTCGAAGTTCGACAACTTTTGGAGAACTATATCCCAACAATATTCGCAACGCTCATTGAACCTTTCTGGGTTTTGTTGAACAGACTGCTCTGCGTTCTTCAGCCGTTCAAGGATCTATGGGAAGGAAAAGCAAAGCCGAAGAACACGATCGACGCAACGTATACCTCAATCCCGCCCCAGCTGGTCTTTTGGAGAGCCTTGAAATCAAAGCATCTTGTCCTCGTTCTTGTCTGTTCCATGGCTCTACTTGCAAATCTTTTGGCTGTTGGTCTCGGTTCCTTATTTAACGAAAACATAACGACAGCGAACTACACAGTTACAATGTCTCCGACCTTTGCGGCCCGTTTTAAGAATGAATCGGTATTCGATCTATCACGAGACTTGAATAGAAACCTCATCACGACAAGTTTATACCAAGATCACTTATATGTGGCAATGGCCAATCTGACTTCGGGGACAATTCTTCCTCCTTGGATCTCTCAAGAGTACTTTTTTCAGAAATACCAAATCCAGGATTACAGTATGAACAGGACAGGAGATACATATACAGTCAGCGCAAGAGGCTATGGTGCTGCCGCCAATTGTACCACAGTACCAGCATCCAAGTTGACTACTCAATACGAAGTACCGGAGGATTGGCCCACGGAAATGACGAACCTCGGCCAATGCACCACTGATGCTCAGTTCGTCGCTGCAGCCGTACCGGTCATCCGCTCAGCGGCAAATAATCGGTCTACCGGCATTTCATCTTTGGAGTATAGTCTAACAGTCGACAGAACTTTCACAAGAGCGCCTTGCGGAAGAACTTTGCCTCTGGGCTGGGCTCGTACCCAAGAGGCAAAATATGTTAATAGCACAGTCGAAGCCAGTTTTGTGATTTGTCGTCCAATATTCGAAACTGCAATGTTCAACGTTACAATCGATCCACTTGGTCATGTCATTTCTTATGAGAGGACTAGTAACCTCACAACAACACTGAATTACGATGAGTCGGAACTTCATACCGACATATTATTCCAAACTTACAATTCACGATGGAATCAAGATCCTCAATGGCACAACCATACACTATCGATGAACTGGATGAATCATCTCATCATGGTTGTCAATGGTTCGAGATCCGCATTCGACCCAAGCGTTCCTGTCCCAGATCCGAAGGAGTTGTTACCAGCCGTATCCGACATCTACCGTCGTGTTTACGCAATCTTACTTGGTCTTAATGACCACATCTTCGAGACGAGCGACAGGGGCGAGCCGGTTTCTGCAGTTCGGCATACGAAAGAAACGCGAATATTCATGGAAGACGCATCTTTCATCATCACCATGACGGTCCTTGCTTTAAACACTGTTGTTGCCGGTTTGTTCTATATCAGAGCTGTTGCGTTTGTCTTGCCACGCATGCCAACGACTCTTGGTGCAGTCGTTGCGTATTTTGCACCGAGCCGTCTTGCGACTCTGGCTTACAAAGATGCGCCAGGGCAATCCTCTCGGACTCTGAGTTTTGGGAGATATATTGGCATGGATGGAAACGTGCATGTTGGCATCGAAGCGGATCCTCACGTCGTGCCCATCGACCCTTCATCACTTGGACCGCAAACAGATTATCTAAAATTTCTTAGACGAAGAAGGAAAGGAAATCCCAACAACCCGAATCATAGTGAGACATGGATATGAAAGGACTTTCAAGAGACAGGTATGAGTTACGATGATGACATAGTAATTTCGCATGGATTATTACAGGCAACTGGTACATAATAAAGTAAGAGATGAAATGAAATTGGTATCAATTATCTCCGAGCTGCTTGAGCCACCTTAAAACAGGCACTTTTGGTTACCCTTTTGCTGCATTGCTGAGGTTTCAATGTCAATTAATAAGATCCTTCCACGAGGATTCAAACTGTTTAGGATGATGTACCAGATGAAAAGCAATACATTCGTCAGAGCAAGTATACATCACATACCTATCAGTGATAGTAAGGTTAATTGCAAGATTCGATGGTCTTTATTCTTAAAACAATGTGCTGCCGTGTGGCCGCGAGTGAAGATTTACAAAAAGGGAAAATTGGTTCACCCTCCAAGACGCCGAGCCGGTCCATATACCAATCCCAGGCCCTATATCCAAGTCCCCAATACTTTGTGAAAGAAATTCTCAAATTTATGCGCGTTGGGCCCGGCGCATGTTTCGCTTGCCTCGCTTCGTGGTCATAGCGATATCAGCGCCTTGGCCAGGAGTGCAACTGACGCCTGAGGAAAGCTGTTGGGTAGCAGTCCAGGCACCACTGGCACAGCGCTGGAAAGTCGAGCCACCAATGCAGTTCCATTCACCTTCGTTTGTGCAAGCAGTTCCAGCAGCGAAGCCGCCGCTTCCGGAGCCCGAGCCGCCGCTCTGGTTACCATCACCAGAGCCCGAGCCTGAACCGGAACCAGACCCGGAATCAGACCCGGAACCATCCTGAGGAGTTTCGGAAGTGGCGGGTGCTTGGGTGGCGGTAGGTTGGGAGGCGGAAGGCTGAGAAACAGTAATGAAGGCACCACCGGGGATCTCAGGAGTGCCATTTGAGCCATTGCCAGCACCAGGGGCGGGTGTAGTGGCGGGTTGAGTGGGCTGGGCACCGTTGTTGGTAGTAGGAGCAGCCACAGGAGTAGAAGGCTGAGAATCGCCTCCACCAGAGCCTGCGTCGGAGCCGCCATCATCGGATCCAGAACCGGCCTTCTGGCATCCAGGGCCTGATGGTCCGTCAAGTTTAGACTTGAGCTTGCTCACATCTTTTCCAGGGTTGGGGAAAGCAAGATCGGTGTCAGGAAGGGTCTCGCACTTATTACCGATATTGGCAACAAACATGTCGGGGAGTGAGTTCAAGAGGTCCTTGGAGCCGCCTGAGCCCTCAACAGTAATGGCAGCACAGTTCATGTACATCTCACGGTTACCAACGTGGTTGAACCATGTCCAGGCAAGTGTGTACTCGCCAGCAGCCAACTCCTTGGGGATGGTGAAGTCGTACTTGTCGGGGTTAGGGGCGTCAGGGTTGCCGCCCAAGTTACCGGTTGCTGTCCTGGAGGGGCAGCCTCCCTCGATAGACTTGATCACCTTCCAGACAGAGTCCTTGGTAGGGTTCTTGTCGGTGGTGATGGAGACCTGGCATGAACCTCCACCATGAACGGCTTGGCCAGTGAAAGAGAGCTCCTGTGTGCTGCCCTGCTTATAGACATTGTCACCTGATCCATCATTGACCTTGCCCTTGCAGGGGAAGTCAGAACCATCTGCTTCTAGAGGGCTGTTGCTGGGGTTGCCATAGGGCTTGGGGTTGGCCATGAGCATATGGGCACTGGCGAAGGAAGCCAGAGTGGCGATAGTGAAAGCCTTCGCGAACATTTTGAATGAAGTGGTAAGTCTAAACGTTCTGGACGATAGATTTGGTGTTCAGATTGTGAGATTGTCGTCAAGACAAGAATCGAGTGATATGGGTATAGGACTGAAGAGTCGTAGCTCGATTTGGGTATGAGTGAAGGAAGGGTCGAATTGCACCAGGCAATATGTGAATGTCGTCGAGACAGAAGGACTAGCCTTTGGAAAGAAAGAAGAAGGAATGGAAATGTCGTTGAGACAATCTCACTTGGAAGGACTGGCTGGAGACTTTTGAAGTCGTTGGTGAAGAAAGATGGTAACACGGGGGAGGAAACGGCGTCTTATATGGACTTGAGCTCGCTCGATGGACTGGCCACCAGCGTTCTAAGAGCAGACATGGAGGCAAGGGGAGTCCGCGAGCGGGAGAAACACTCGCGAACGGACGCGGCTGGATGCGACTCAGAGGCTATCATAGTGGGCCTTTTCTCCGTATAGCCAGGGAAGAGACTAAGAGTCAACTTCTAGTAAACATACATAGCCACTCAGGTTTCTTCAATGCAATTGCTGAGTCTCGTTTCGAAGCAAGGCGGAGGGGTTAGACCCAGAAGACTAAGAGACGATTTGCAGCAAGCGATGCATGATAGGCTGACGACAATGTTTCAAGACTCATCTGGTCACGAAAGGAAAGTGTGAGTGGACTGGACCCATGCATACCCCAGAGGAAAAGACGAGGTTTATGCCCCTGACTAGCGATTCGTGTGTTTGCAGGGAACTTGTCCTGCCTGAAAGAGGGAATCTGTATGGAAGACGACAACGGATCTATTGCTGACTCCCTTGTTCAGCTGCAAGGCCCTTGTGTGGTTTGTTCAAGCGCCTTCTACAGGAATGATGAGCCACTCAATGACTTGTCGTTTGTAAACGGGTTCAATGCCGTCAGCTTAGCGTAGGCCGCCCATACATACTCCATCGTGGCAAGGGAGCTTAGTCGGTGAAATAATGACTGAGAAAAGAATATGTGGTTGGGGTGCAAGGGACTCCAGTTTTGCGACCACCAATCAGGCCCTGTCGAACCAAGTGCTCGGGAAAGACGATGGCCAGACTGGGGGACTTTGAACAACCCTGCTCTCAACGTCATGCTACGGAGAACAGCACAACAGGCTTCTGTTCATGTCCCGGAATACATTTGACATTGAAAATACCTCTTGGATTCTAACATGTTTGAAGGCTCGAAAGGAGGATTCACATAATAATTCGGCATCCATCTGATGACTTGCCTCAGTGATCCGAGCTTATTGTCGAGTCAATGCATTGTTCGGACATCCGTGTCATCCACTGCAGAGGCAGTCCGTCGTGCTGGGCCAGCCATTACGAGAAACCCAGCTCTTGGTAGCGGGGTTCCGATGCCAATCAGGGGGCGATGACAGGGATAAGACTGAGCGACAGGGGTATGACCAAGCGATCGTGTTGAACGGGATTAGTGGCTTGAAAGTCCAGAACCAGTCAGTTGTCTCATACTTGCCAAGACAAGAAAAATTGAGGATAGTGAGATTTGACGGCCACAGAGAGGAATTTCGCAAAAATCTATGCTGCACATCGAAAAACCGCTAGGTGTAAGTTTGCAGCTGCATTGAGTAGCTTACAGCCTTGACCTTGGAGATAATAGTATCGGAGGTCCGACTGGATCCATTGCTTTTTGCAGGCTGGGCATTCTGGAGGCCTGCCATCTTCAGCAATCCCCTGAACGATCGCCTCCAAGTCAGGGGTGTAGCTGTAGATCTTGAACAGGGCGAAAATCTTTCACGTGTGGTCGAAAAGACCTCAAAGAATATGTCTCCTGACACTCCTCCCTTTTTGGGATTTATCTCCGTGTGACGAACTAGGACGGCAGGGAACCGTCTCTTGGACTCCCGACGAGATAATCGTTTTTCGTCTCCCTCATGAAACAGGCACAGTTTCATAAGTTGCTTCCGTACTCCGTAGTGACAATGGGCTTTTATGGCAAGCCAATCATAAAGAGAATGAATCATACACGAGGCGGACGCCTTGCGTAAGTTGCGGATAAAGGCCTCATTCTGAATGTTTTCTGCAGGAGTTGTCATGATGTTTCGTGTCTTGGTGTTTTGGTGTTTCGGGTTTGGATGAGAGGTAGTGTTGGTGTTGGAGTGGGGTTGAGAGATCTGGTGTTGGTTGGGAAGCTGGGAATATGGGTAGCGCCCGGAGGGAACCGAAATTCCTTCCTACCCAACGTGGCAGGCTGAGTGGTCAGCTACAGTGAGTGATAGCACTGATAGGTCGTCTTAGCGTATATTCTATCGACAGAGGCTTTGTGTCTAGATCTTTTTGAGGCCAAGGTGAGATGACGGTTGCGTCTACTAGAGCACGCTTCGTAAGAACCGAAACCAGAAATTTGATGTTTCGTATCTCTATTGGATCTGGCAGGCGCATGATGAGATCCAATCGCCGTGTTACGTTAACGTCAGATATAGCTCTCTCTAGGGCTGACGACACTATGTGCAGATAGCTCGAAATAGGTTTGTTGTTGTTTTTCCATTACTCTCACCTCACCATCACCAATAGTGAATCGCATATAGTCGCCGAAACATCTTCAGTGACAACTGTCTAGGTTAGGCAGCTTTTGAGCCATTCTCGTGACTAGGAGCACATGCAGCCCAACCAACAGACCTGGGGAAAAAACCCAGGGGTGGTATCGGACGAAACACGGCGATTCTCTCGTAACATCTACCAAGGTCAAGGGTCATCATAATCAGGGTCTCGGAGTTCAGATGATCCTCACTCAGCTCGAATCCGCAGAACTTGCCAACGATAATCATGGTTGAGAATCTGCATGAAAGCACTGTCCACAATTCTCCATCAAATATCCACGCGTTAGGCCAATTGAGCACTGTCGATCTTAGTCTTTGTCTTAAGTTTCAAACATAACGAACAGGGCCGGGTATAGCAGCCGCGTAAACAGGTGGCATGAAGCCATTTTCCCCCCGGAGGACTAGGAGGATTCCACCTGTAACCCTTGACCCAAGCGTGATGTTCCGGAGAGAACCACCGGGAACCATCAGCCACATTTCATATAGATTAATACAGAACGATGCTTGTTGGCACCACACACTTCATTTATAATTCTAAATCCAACTTGTGCTGAAAAGGAAGCTTCTCGTGACTTGTTACTTAAAGGATTCGCCGTAACGTTTCGTTGGCAGGTAGATCCAATGCGTCGCGAACTTGCATCATCTGCAAAGATGCACTAAATCTGAAAGAGTTAGACTCTAGCTTGCATCCTTCATTAAACAGAGCACCGGATACATGCATCTTCAGTATATTGAAATTCAAGTTGTGATAGCCTGTTGGACATAGGTGTCCCGACAGTCTGGGACGACTTAACCGCCCATGACTTTGATAAGTCCCAACACTCTGTCGGCACAAGGCCAACGTCAGACCTGCAGTTATGAATTACTCTGTGATGTGCTGTCCGATTCTTGGCAAAATCGGGCGCTTGCGAAACTTTTTCGAGATAATGATTTGTCTATTTCATCTCGTAGGACTATTTCATCTATGAGGCCCATCCCACCAACCGGTCTGTTGGTGCCAGTGTCTCTATTCTTCACCGCTACAAGGCAAATTCATTGCAGCTAAGCAAGCGACCGACCGCTAATACTGGGAAAGCGCTTACAGAAACAGGTGTTTACTTCCACTCATCCCACCCATCATTGGCAGTTCCCTCGGGGATGTCTGCATCCGTGTCATTAGTATATGCACCTGAACATGGCTGAATAAACTTACCCTCGCCAAAACCCAAACCAGCTCGGGTCCAGTTCTTCATCTTCGACTTTCGAAACTCTTCAAAATCCCACTCGCCCTTCTCAAGGTCATCGGGGTTGTTGAAAACGTAGACAAAAGTCTCCTTGGTCTCCTCCTTCTCGGGAGCAGTTCCGTCTTTGTTGAGAAGCTTGACTTTAACCTTTTCTTTGAAATACTCAGATCCCTCGAACATGTCGAGCTTGTCAACGTTGCCGTCAGTCAGTCCAGTGGCATATATGCCAAGGACAGTGTGGCCCTTCTCGGGGATCACTGCAGGGTAATCCGCAGACTCAACTCTGTGGCGACAGTAGCCGTCTAAGATAGCAGGAGTGAATGTGTGCATGTCCTTGATGGCCCTGGGAGGGTCACGATCGCCATAGCAAACAGTGAAGAAGACCTCGGGAGCCATCTGAAGTAGGAGGTTAGTACTCAGTTTCGGAAACTACGTGTAAACCCACCAAGGTGCCTGCATGAGTGTCAGTCAACACGTTCTGAGAAGTTTTAAGATGCATCACTCACCATAGAAGAAGGCTGTAAAGTCGCCGCTCATTTTCTTGAGGTTTGGTTTAAGGTAAGATTATCGTGTGATTGAGCCAGTATGTATATGGATGCGATAACCCAGTTACAAGGTTGCGTTGTGAAATGTGGTGCGAATGATTTGTGAGGGGGAACTTCAGCCTCATGGAAAAGAACAGAGTTCAATATATAGTCCACAGAAGAGGGGAGAGTTATCCCTGGGAAAACCTTTGCGAGTTGGTTTGATGTCTGCTTGATCAGTGAATCATCCTCCGTTACCCTATCCCTGAGGTTATCAAGCGCACCGGAATCAGTGGGGCAATCAGCACGTATAGGGAATTCTGTATCGAATTCCCCTTTCTGTGCTTTCATTTGCCTGACAGGCATATTGAGCTGTAAATTACATTTGTTAACATATTATATATAGTTGCTTCATGTGTTATCGTAGGCAAATAGTCCATGTTGTTTATGAACCCCAAATCCCGGAATCAAGCATTTTAGATACTGTAGCACAATCTGCTTGTCCTCGTCCTTGTCTTACAAGGTCGTCGAGAAGGAACAGATAAGATACAAGATAAGATACAGTGGTGCCCGCCCAGCTTCCGTGTAGCTTGGCCTGGAGGGTAAGTCAAGCGTGATTGGCCAAAATGTGAAGCTAATGCCGGTCAAACATTAATACGGCGTTAGCGTCAGAGGAATTGGCGGCTGCACCCCCCCAGTATCGTCGTTCTCGTAATTTTCAACGCGACAGCCCTTCACGTCAAGTTCGACTTTCAAGCTTGCTCAGCAAGACCATACACTATCGCCCATCGCAAACCACCACGAACCCTCCACATTGCCTCGCCAACATCACGCCCTAAACTTCCAAACAACTGTGAAAGGAGCTACCGATTGGCTTTTTTGTTTCATTTGTTGTTAATGACACGATATCGATCGCAATAAGCAGCTACCTAACTCAATTCTCCTTCCCTGAAGGATAAAGGGTCGCCATCATACCGACACCTCTGCGGATGGAGTTTCGCCAATAATGCAGCCATGTCGGGCACCACTATAGATGATGTCGTTAAGCGACTCAGCGCAACTGATATTGGTATGAATTCTCTTGAAATTGCGACCCCGCCGGAAATGCCGTCGCATGTCTGCAATATTATGATCATGGCCACTGACATAGTCCAAATTTAGATGTTAGACTTAAGCTTGAAGCTGCAACTACGTTGCGCGATAGCTTAGATCACTATACCAGTGGTCAAATATATCCGCCATTCCTAAAGAGACTAATGCCCATTTTCTTTACCATCTTACGCGGACCATGCATCTTTCAGAGCAACTCACCAGACCAGGTCAGTTTGGAAGTCCGAAGGATCAACCTGCTACTAACGTACGGCAGAAACTTCGAATGGCCATACTCGAGGTCATTCACCGATTACCTACCCAGCCCGCTCCGCCCGAACCCTTCGAACCCCACGCCGAAGAGACAGTCGATTTGTTGATGCAACTTGTACGAACGGACAACGAAGAGAACGCGACAATATGTGTGAAGATAATATCGGATATTATGCGCCACCAGCACAAGGTGTTGCAGGGCAAAGTGCAGCTCTTCCTCACTCTCATTCAAGAGCTTTTCGAGCAGATGGAGAAGGTCGTTCGAGAGCAGCTTGATAATGCACCCCATAATGCGCCATCGCAACCTGGAGCACCCTCTACCCCTGGCAACTCGCAGACGAACTTCCAGTCCCCAAGGCCAGGTTCACCAGTCGCTTCCGTCAACGATCTCGGTACCGATACACAGCAACAGAACCGCCCACTGTTGAAGGGCATGCATTCCTTCAAGGTTCTCTCCGAGTGTCCCATTATTGTGGTGTCCATATTCCAGGTTTACCGAAACACGGTGCAGCAGAACGTCCGGAAGTTCGTCCCTCTCATTCAGAATGTGCTATGTCTCCAAGCTTCAGCACAACAGCAAGCTCACGCCGATGCTGCTGCCAGAGGAACGATCCATACGGGAGTGAGCCCTGCTATCAAGAACCGGGTGGCATTTGCCGATTTCATTACAGCTCAAGTCAAAACTATGAGCTTCTTGGCATATCTTCTTCGGCAATACGCCTCGCATTTGAATGATTTCTTGCCTCGACTCCCCGATATCGTCTTGCGTCTCCTGAAAGACTGTCCTAGAGAGAAATCCGGCACACGCAAGGAGTTGATCGTTGCGATTCGCCATATTATCAATTATAATTTCCGCAAGATCTTTATCCCTAAGATCGATGAGCTCCTGGATGAGCGGACACTCACCGGTGATGGATTGACGGTGCATGAGACGATGCGACCTTTGGCCTACAGCATGCTTGCAGATCTTATCCACCATGTCCGAGACTCTTTGAAGCCAGAACAGATTAGGAAGACTGTTGAGGTCTACACCAGGAATCTGCAGGATAATTTCCCTGGCACAAGCTTTCAGACAATGAGCGCGAAGCTTCTTCTGAATATGGCAGAATGCATAGCGAAATTACCCAATAAGGTCGATGCACGACATTATTTGATCATGATTTTGAACGCAATTGCCGACAAGTTTGCCGCCATGAACCGGCAATACCCTAATGCTGTTAAGCTCTCAGCTCTGTACCGTGAACAGATGAAGGCTGGCACCCCTGAGACATACTTAGCCGACAAGGACAGTCCGCCCGACTGGGATGAAACCGACATCTTCTCTGCAGTTCCAATCAAGACCTCGAACCCACGAGATCGAGGTGCAGACCCTGTCGTTGACAATAAATTCCTCTTCCGAAATTTAATGACAGGCCTGAAGAACACCTTCTACCAGTTGAGGACATGTAACGTTGGGTCACCTATCGACGCTCAAAATGCCCCCACCCACTGGCAGGATGTTTCTTATGGGTTCACAGCCGAAGAGGTCAAGGTCATCATCAAGCTCTTCCGAGAGGGCGCTTATGTCTTCAGATACTATGAGATTGAGAAGCCAGCAGCGGAGTCCCAGTACATGTCACCAGTAGAGTACATGGCCAACTTCTATATGGTTTCATGTAGCAAGGAGGAGAAGGACCTTCTTGAGACTTTCGCCACCGTTTTCCATGCCATTGATCCCGCTACTTTCCACGAGGTGTTCCAGCAGGAGATTCCGCGACTTTATGATATGATCTTTGAACATACAGCGTTGTTACATATACCCCAATTCTTTCTCGCCAGCGAGGCAACTTCTCCTAGCTTTTGCGGTATGCTTCTACAGTTCCTCATGGAGCGAATCGATCAGGTCGGGTCTGCAGATGTCAAGAAATCCTCCATTCTGTTGAGGCTCTTCAAGCTGGCTTTCATGGCCGTTACCCTGTTCGCCAACCAGAATGAACAGGTGCTATTACCACACGTTGTCAACATTGTCACGAAATCTATCGAGTTGTCAACAAAGGCAGAAGAGCCAATGAATTATTTCCTCCTTCTTCGCTCGCTGTTTCGCAGCATTGGTGGTGGTAAATTCGAGCAGTTGTACAAGCAAATTCTCCCTCTGCTTGAAATGCTCCTGGATGTGTTGAACAACCTCCTGATGGCTGCGCGAAAGCCATCTGAGCGCGACCTCTACGTGGAGCTCTGTCTCACAGTCCCGGCTCGACTTAGTCATTTGCTACCGCACCTGAGTTTCTTGATGCGTCCGCTTGTCGTTGCTCTACGCGCAGGGACCGATCTTGTTGGACAAGGACTGCGAACACTGGAGCTATGTGTGGATAATCTCACAGCTGACTATCTTGATCCCATTATGGCACCTGTTATCGATGAGCTGATGACTGCTCTCTTTGACCATCTCAAGCCTCACCCTTACAGCCACTTTCACGCCCATACCACAATGCGGATTCTTGGCAAACTGGGTGGTAGGAACAGGAAGTTTATGACCAGTGCTGTGCCGCTTACATACAGGGAATACGCTGATGATCCCTCAAGCTTTGATCTAAGACTCCTGGGTTCTAAGAAGGATAGAGCCTTCCCCGCTGACATGGGAATTGACTTTGCCATTCAGAAGTTAATGGAGTTTCCAAAAGCAACCAAGAATAACCATAACAAACAATATGATGGTTACTATAAGAAGCAAGCATTACATTTGATCAAGGCACAGCTCAAACTTCGAATCGGTTATGATCAGCTTCCAGATGACCTCCCGCGTCTTTTGCGACTCCAAGCTGAAGATCTCGTTGCGAGAAGGTATGAGATCAATGCTGCCAATTTTGAGATCTCAGATCGTGAGCGATCCATCCCGAAGAAGGAGAGCGAAGATTTGGTCGTCAAGCGGCTTCTCAAGGCCATCATGTTTGCCCATTCCTTCCCTGAATTCAAGGATGAAGCCAGTACGTTCTTGCTCAACGTTTGCAAGCACTTCGCGATCATTGAGATTGGCAGAGCTTTGGTGGATTTGAAGCGCACTTTTAGCCCCTTCGACCCTAACGCTGGCGAAGGCCCTTTGCACATCGATACACGTAATCTCTCAGACGCCATTGTCGAGTCACTGGCTTCTGATCACCCAGATGTGCGCGAGGCGGGTAAGAGTGCTATTCATGAGATGTATGACGCTACAGCAATTATCTTTGGTTCGGAAAGCGATGTTGGCAAACTTCCTTTCTTCATTCATCTAAGCAGTACTTTCTGTCACAGCTGCTATGAAGAGGAATGGTTCACCAAGACTGGAGGTAGCCTGGGAATCAACTATCTGCTTACTGAGCTTGATCTTGGCGACACATGGATCACATCCAAGCAAACCGAGTTTATCCGTGCACTCACGTATGTGGTCAAGGACATGCCCCAAGACCTTCCTGAAAAGACGCGTTGCCTTGCTCAAACCAGCTTGGAGGTGCTCCTGAAGCGCATCACTAAGGACATAACCAAAGAGGATACGCTGCCCATCACACAACAACCAGGCCAACCGCAAAACCCTCAACCCAAGCAGCCTCGACTTTCCCAGATTTGTCAACAATTTGGTAACGATCTGTACCATATGAACAAGCATGTTCGAGAGACCGCAAAACACTCGCTGGAACTCATCGCGACAGCGGCAAAGTGTGAGGTCTGGGAGCTGTTGGAATCCTGCAAGGACAAGATCCTGCAACCCATCTTTGCCAAACCTTTACGTGCACTGCCCTTCAGTATTCAGATCGGCTACATCAATGCCATGACGTATCATATGAGCTTGAAGAACGACTGGGTCCCATTTGACGAGAACCTAAACCGTCTTTTGATGGAGTCGTTAGCACTTGCGGATGCTAGCGACGAATCTCTTGCCAACAAGCCTGCGGAGTTCCGTACTCATGAGCACATTGTCAACCTCCGTGTTTCATGTATTAAGCTTCTTACAACTGCCATGACGTTTGAGGAATTCTCCAATCAGCCGACCAAGACCAAGATCCTCAGTGTCTTCTTCAAATGCCTTTATTCAGAGTCAAAGCCTACTATCATTGCAGCGAACGATGCCCTGAAGTCTGTCTTATCGGTAGATAGACGCCTGCCTAAGGAGCTTCTACAGGGAGGTTTGCGACCAGT